TAAAGAAGTCAGAGAAGAATTTGTTTCTAGAGCCTTTGCCAATTTTGTTGCTCCTGCTTCTCCAATCTGATTAGACTCAAGATTTAAAGAAGTCAGAGAAGAATTTGTTTCTAGAGCCTTTGCCAATTTTGTTGCTCCTGCTTCTCCAATCTGATTAGACTTAAGATTTAAAGAAGTCAGAGATGAATTTGATTCTAGAGCCTTTGCCAAAGCTGTTGCTCCTGCATATCCAATGTGATTAGAGGAAAGATTCAAAGAAGTCAGAGAGGAATTTGATTCTAGAACCTTTGCCAATGCTGTTGCTCTTGCCTCTCCAATATTGTTATAAGAAAGTATCAGAGAATTAACAGAAGGGTTTGATGTTAGAGCAGCTATCAGTGCAGTTGTTCCTGCATCTTTTAGCTTCCAAGAAAGATCTAGTGTTCTACCTGGTAAATGCTGATTATTATTATTAAATAGAAGTCTTAATTGCTTGTAAATTTCTTTACATGATGGTCTTTTATCAGGATTTTCACTCCAACATTCCGAATACAGTTGAATATATGTTTCTGGTGTTTCTGGAAAAGGAAAATCTCGATAGCCTTGTTTTCTACATTCTGCCACACTAACCCATTTTTTACAAGGAATTTTCCCGCTAGAAATTTCCCAAAACAACACTCCAAGACTAAAGACATCAGACTTCTTTCCGCGTCTATATGATTGGTCTCTAAGTGATAACGGATCTCTGTATGCTGCAGTGCCTTCACCTATTGATGAGGACATAATCTGTCCTGATAGACCAAAGTCAGTAATTTTGGCAATGCCAGATTTGATAAGAATATTGGAGGAGGACTGTAAATAAGGGTTAGGAGGATAATAATTAATTTAGATTCATCAAGTTATGCAATGCGACCAAATCAAAGTGCGATCATAATATTACCAAGTCCTTGTGGATGATATTAAGCTTATGCATGTGTCCCAGACCGTTAGTAATTTCGAGACTGAGTTTACACTTGTCTTTCCATGCTAAACTACGAAAATGTTGCGCCAAGTGAGTGCGCAAAGTTCCGCCATCAGCAAACTCGAAAATCATATGATAACCGTTATCTTCGACTTTAGATTGAAACATACATATGTTATGTATAAAAATACAATCACCATGTTACAACGATAACAGTGACATACTTACAGACACCTAATAATCGGATAATATTCGGATGACCGCTCACTTTCTTGTGGCTTTTCAGCTGATGGTATGTAAGTCATTAGTTATAAATTGGCAACGATAAAACGTGTGCCCTATTGAACAAAAATCAACGACCAACCTCTTTAATAAGTTTTTTGTAAAACTTTTCCTCACAACCATGGACATTCCGATACAAAGTTTTTATGGCGACAGTCAATCTATTGTGTTTCATCATTGCCTCAAATACTGCTCCATAGGCACCACCAGCAATAGGTAAACTACGCATATCAATGTCGCTTTTTGGATAACAGCGAATAGAACCCTCTTGAATACTGTTCTCAATCCATTCCTTATTATAAACATTATTAGGCTCTCCCCGCTGATGACTGATTACTTGAGATTGCAAAGATCGCTCATCAGTTTCCAGCTGGGAAGGTTTATCTGGAAACCCGTTTTCTAATTGATTAAGGTTGTTTTGTGGTTGAGAAACTTGGTGAATGTCTCCTTGCGACTGAGACATACTTGGATTACCCGTTGGTGGGTAGACCTATAATGTCATAATAGCATGCCCATGTGAATGCGTGAGCTTGGTACAATTACCTCACAGTAAACCGAATATACAAACCTGTGATTGGACATACTCCGATTCTGATTGCTCGATCGGAAAAATTCCAGGCATGTCTTGAACCGAGTTTTGTCGGTCCAATTGATGTTCTGATCGCATCGGCGGCGGCGTAAAAGATTTGTTTGGTGTTTGTACTTCACGCTGTCTCGAATACGGGTGCTGCGACAACCACCGTTGTTGACGTTGTTGCCGATGCGTAAGCAGGTTTTGCCGAGTAGACTGCTGCTGCTGTTGCTGTGCCAATTCCTCTTGCCGTTGATAGGTCTGTGGTTGGCTCTGCCAGGTTTGAGAAGGTTGCTGCGACATTGTAGGTTAACTACAAGAGACTTTACATTATGTTGTACATACCTATGTACATAACCAATAATTGGGAGGTTTGCAGATCACGACATACTCCTGAAGGTTATACAAACGTTAACTTAAAAACAATAGTGAATGTGCTTGCAGAGAGCAACGTATATAGAACTAGGGTCGGGCATTCAATGGTGCGTGCATGTAGGAGATTTGTCCGCATTCATACGCTAATAATTTAGGGAGGCATTTTTTGTTAAAGGAGCACTTTTAATTGTCTTTTCAGAAATTTGTTTCCGATAATAAGAGACAATGGACTTCCGAATATATTGTATTCTATTTATCTATTTTATTATTTTCTCTAACTCTAAAAATTAAGCTGTTCTTAACTGCTGTTAACTGCCTTTAATTCGTCCCTTTTAATTCGGAATTTTCGGTAATCGGACGGACGTATAAATTAAGTGTTGTAAGACAACTTTAATTCAGCCTCATTCCATATATGTAATAAATTAACGTTAATTCGGACGCTTATTCCTTTAATTCGAACGCTTGATAAAATTCAATCGTCCACAACCATATTAAAAATTCGAGGCAAAAATGAAGGTATTATGAAAGAGTTTGATGAAACATTACAAAAACGATACCGCTAAAACCGTTCCAAACTGTATACACATCTAATTAACTGTGCGAAATGTGTAAACGTTAAAGAGCTAATCTTCTCATAAGCTAGCAAAAGACAATTTAGTCACATGTTATCGTAGGTTACAGCATCTTTCAAAATAAAACTAGTGGATAGGCGGAGCTGCACCATAAAAAACACAATAATTCTCCGATAAGATGAAGTTGGCCCAACATGACTCGATATAGTGATGCCAATTATCAATCTCGCGATATAACGTTATAACGATGTTGCTGAACCCGGAGCTATTCATAAAAGTTTGTGGTTTTAGCATACAACACCTTGTCCTCGGTTTATATAGAACCAAGCTTAGGAAACGATCTCGAGCTGACATCTTATTAAATTAAACCACTCCTATTGTCACAAGGAAAATTGATTTAATATTATCACAAATGACAAGATTAAAATTTTGTTAAAGAAAATTTTAACTGTCTGATAGTGCAAAGCGAAAGGCACCTTGGATGAATATACAATATTGCAATCTGACAGTTAAACAAAAACTACAGAGTTCATGACATTTTGATTCTGTGTATTCTTAATGTGTAGCAAGTCCCCACGTTGTATCGATGCCTTAACATTAATTTCTATGCGCCAAATTCAATCATAATTCATGCTTTGATGATTGAAAGACATGCCTCTACACTAGTACAATTGACTGGTGAGAAAATCCAACAATTTCAAGCAAATTATTGTATGATATAGATCTATATATCGCGCGTTCTACGACGAAGAGTATTTACCAAGAATAAGAGAAATGAATAGCATCTGTAGCTATTTGATATTATGTATTGCATTACCAAAACTGAAGAAAAAATAATAATTGTTGCAAGTATTCATTCATTAGCATAATGTAGCTATAAGCTAATCGAGTAATATAATATCAATTGCGCCAACTGTTACAAAAATTTAATGAACTGAATCAAAGCCAACTTGTCATACGTGAATAATTGGACGCAGTATATTATTATACGATTTGTGGCTTGCGAATGTGCGAATCTAATTGTATGAATAATATGTGTTGAACTATTGTATTGGACTTTGAACTCTTTCACACAATTACAATTATCGAACGCGATTATATCACTTGATATCGACGGGCGTAATTTTTGGCAATACAGTTAGATTGTATATGTAGTCGGTTTTGTCAATGTGTGTGTGAATCTAATAGTACGATGATTTGCATTGGTAGAATTTTTATTACGGTTAGATTGTTTAATCGTACGGCATTACAGAAAATATAGTCTATAGATTTTATTTTATACTTTGTCATATGAAAGGTTTATCATTGTCTGTTAGCTAGTATGGAGGAATATGTTTCAATTATTGAAACTAAATTTGACACCACGCTAATGTCAGGCATCGAAACATGAGATTAAATAAAACTTTGTAGTCTTCGTTTAACCTGTCAGATTGCAAATTGTATATTACTTAATAGATACATTTAAGCATTTATTGAATGTCGTGAATAAAACTTGAAACTTAGCCTTGGAAAAAATGATAAAGGTCTAAAAGAACATTGCGTAGCGGGTGTAATAATGTAGAGAAGGTCTGAAACTGATAGACTGAAACATTGAATGATGATTGATTTTTTAAGAGAGTTCATGGGAAGGGCGCTAATAATTAAGAGTAAAGTATTAGTTTCTTGTTATCAAATAGCGGAAGCAATCGGTCGGTTTGTGTGTAAAGAATTTTGCATATCAACATCCGACGTAAAATCAGTACCCTCTTCTTGTAGAATAAATACAATATATATCGTTTGATTAGGAAAAAAAAAAAGAAAAGTTTCGCATATATTTATGCGCATGTTGTGCTATAATACTAAATGTTAAAATAACTTACACACGCTGAGACCGCGGAGTGTCTAAAAATCAAAACTTATTCATTTTGTACGCTGAAGTATGATGATTTGATGTGTAGAAGCGACAACAGTCGGGGTCAGTCATAGTAATGGGAAATTAAAAAATGGCATGCATATAGGAATAAAAGTTTGCGCTATGCCGATTTCGCCTGGAGAAAGAAACGACGCGTACTGTTGAGCGATCTGCTCTTCAACTCCAAGCATTAGTTGATCAATTTTCCATCGAAATGTCCAGTGCTCAGGAGCGTATCCAGTATTTATGTGATGTTATTACCATCGAAATGGGAAATGGAAAGGAAACTCGCCGAGAGATTTATTTCACTTGGAGTTATACGTTTGTATGGGAACAGAAAGTTGAATGAAAACAATGTTTGCGAAGCAGGAAGTATTGTTGGGTTTTCGTGAGGAAGTTGGATGAAGAGGATGTCTGTATCAAGAAGTTCCGTTTTATCTATTGTGAGAAATCCAGAATAATAAATTAGTATGCCAGTGGTGTTACTAACTTTGTGTCTTCTTAGCGTTCTACTTTACCATTGCATTAATGATAGGAAGTCTGGACAAATGGTAATTAGAGGAAACTTACCAATGTAATCTAAAGTCCCACTCCGCAGAAATGTAGAGTGTTTCATTCTTGTATACTGTAAATTGAACAAAATTCCCGATATTAAAATGTAGATAATAGTTTCTACTAGCTGCATTTAAGTGGTGATATTCCAAAAGCAATCAGGCTTACACTAACAAGATACCACATTTTTATTTGAAGTAGTCCATTAGCGAAGATATTGATGGCGGAGCGAGGTACGGGCCAGTTTAGCAAGAAATGGTTTCGGTTCAAATACACGTAATCGGTAAGGAATGTATTGTCAATGTTAATAAATGCGAACTGTATTGTATATATCTATCCGCATGCCATTGGATAAATAAAAAAAGCATGGAGCGAGTGTTTCAAGAGAAACAATATTGCCTGATCCACCAGTCACATGCTTCCAATCATCTTGTTTTTTCTCATGGGTGTAGTTGTTGTATGTCAATTCCGAATTTATATCAGTTCCGAATTGACATATGTCAGTTCGGAAGTGACATATGTCAGGACGGAATTTATGTTAGTTCTGAATTGACATATGTCAGACCAGAATTTTATGTCACTTCCGAACTGACATATGTCAGACCAGAATTTTATGTCACTTCCGAACTGACATGTCAGATCGGGATAATTAGTAATATAACAACATTTCATTGAATAATATATTAATGCTATAACCAACTGATATTGTTGCTAATTGTGAA